ATTGAATATATCATGGATTAGGTCAGGTGTACATTAGTCCTAAAATTGGTGTCTTTGCTCTATAACACTTTAAAGAAGTCTTTTGCAGATTTACTTAATGCAATATATTGTTGAATTTCTTGACTTCTACTTTCATGAATGTTGAATGTGGATCCAAGCAAAAGGAAGTCTTTGACAATTTCAATCTTTTCTCCATTGCTATTTGAGCACTGGACTAAGCACTAAACTTTAAACCAAAATGTTTGCAGTTCACACCCACCGGCCACTCCTCAGACACTCTAATCTGAGTCACTAAATTGGAATCAACTCAAGTGCATTTAACACTTATTGGTCCAGTTGTGAGAAGTTTTCTTTTCTTTATAATGAGGTGCAATCCATACTGAAAGTGCAATCCATATTGAGGTATAAATCGATACTTAGATCTTCACCAGTAAGTATTTTAAGTCCTATTCACTTCCAGCAAGGAAAGTTGTATCATTGCCTATTTCAGGTTAGTAATGAGGTTTTCTGCAAAAACCATATTGTTCAATGATTTCCACATTCCATTGTATTACCTTTCATTGATTGGGAACAAACATGGATGTCTTCCAAAACTTGACCAGGTAGTTTTCTTTCAAATTTCTCAGCATAGATGAGTGAGCACCTTCAGCGCTTCATCCATTTGTCGAAAGATTTCACCAATGCCTGAAGTGCAGCTTGGACTTCTTGCTTCATGATCATATGCTACTTCTTGAAATGATTGAACATCAACCATTTCTTTTTTGGCACAGTGACTCTGTGTTACTGCTATTTTATTTTGATGTTTTCTTCAACATTTAATATTCTGCCCAGAGAATCTTTTAATATTTCAAGTTGTGGCTTGATATTTTTCTGCAGTTCTTTCAGCTTGGGAAATGCTGAGGGTGTTCTTCCCTTTTGGTGTTTATAACTACCACACTATAACCAATCTAGGAAAGACACATACATATTTTTAGACAGTTGCCTTATGAACTCCCACCATAGGATGTTCCACCTTAGGAGCTCCTAATACAGGACGTCTCACATCACAGTAATCTAAATTTGTTAACTATCAATTAAGTAGTATAATTCCCACCATGCTAGGATTTAAGTTTGCAACTACCAATCAAATTGTTTACTTCTGTTTCTTTCTTCTCCCCTTATAAAATGTTCCTGTAGCTCAGCCATATTCACTTGCTAGCTTTGACTTTGTAGAGTTCCTTTCTCTACCAGGCTAGAGTTGTTTCTTTACCTTCAATAAACCCCTTTATTTTTACTTTAACAGAGTAAGTATTCACTACTCTTGGACAATTGTTGTTGTTAAGTGCCATAGTGACATGAAAATCTTTTTAGAAACTTAATCTACAACTCAAGAGAAGATAGAAGTTCAAATAGCAGTTAAATTTCAATGAGTTTTTCAAATGGAAGAGAAAGAAATACTGAAACACTTTAGAATTGCTGAAGAAAATTAATATAGATGTTTATTGAAGGTTGAAAGTTAAGAATAGTCATAAAAATAAGACATTAAATAAACCTTTCAAGTCAGAGTCTCTTTATATATAAAGTTAGAGATTAGTTTACCCATCTCTTTAAAAAACGTTGTTAGAACCTGGACTGGAATTGCATTATATCCATAGACTGCTTTCACTAGTCTTGACATTTTCATAATGTTAAGTCTTCCTATACACAAGAATGATATACTCTTCCTTTTTTTTTTTTTTTTAACATCTCTTTTGGTTTCTTATAATAGTATTTTGTAGTTTTCTTTATAGAGGGTTTTTGTTTCCCTGCTTTAGATTTATTTCTAAGCATTTCATTTTTATTTTTTGGAGGCTACTGCAAAGGTATTATTTTCCTGATTTGTTTTTCAAAGCTCTCCTTATTAGTATAAAGGAATCCTTCTGATTTTTGTATATTGAGCTTGTACCCTGTCACTTTGCTTAACCATCCAATGAGTTTTAATAATCTCCCTGCTGAGTCTTTGAAATTTTCTAAGCATAGTGTCACATCATCTGCAAATGCCAATTAGAATGATCTAGTAGCCCTTTCAGGATATACAGTGTTGTTGTTGTTGTTATGTGCCATCAAGTTGATTCCAACACATAGCGACACTGGATGAGGTTTCTGAGGAGCAGCTGGTGAGCTTGAACCACTGACCTTGCAGTTCAATTGGCTTTGAAGT